TCATAAAATGTTGAACTATCACGCACTATCAAAACTTTGATGTGTTCAATATAGGTAATAAAAAAGTGCACTACTGTAACAAAATTTAAATGCTACAAACAAAAAAATATAAAATATTTCACCTTTTTTCTTCAGTCTTTACATACTCTTCTTCTAATATAATCAGATTAGATTGTAGGATTTCTCTAACCTTTGTTTATAGTTTTATAAATTTGTTGTGAACCTGCTTTGTATATTCAGTTCATAACCATAAACGTAGAAACTATTTGGTCTTTTACTATTGATGTTTAGAAAATACCTGAAAAAATTATTATTTTGAAATATTTGGTCTTTTACTATTATATGTTGGATTTTCTTGAATTGCTAGAGTCTTTTGTCATGGAATTTGGACTATTCCAATTTTTGTAACCTTTTTATTACCATCTTGTGAATATTTATGTGTGTTTCTTGTGTAAGTATAGATTAAGTGTTTGTTTCTTGATTTTTTGTTGTAATACGTATATAACTATATGCATCTATTGTGTATGAATGTATAACTCTAAAAGTAAATATCGAATTAGTATTATTTTGTTGTTATACTAATGTACTGTTATATCTATTTTACATGCATGGAGATAATGGTGCCTAATAAACAATGGATGGAACTCATTAAAGATAGACTTGCTATTGCTTATATAGATGGGGTGGAGACTTTCTTGGATTATGCTTTTACAAAATTAGGAGAACCGCAGTTGATACATTGTCCATGTATTAAATGTGGTAATGCAACTTCTAGAACACATGTTGTAGTTAGGTCACATTTAATAGTACATGGGATAATACCAAGTTATACTCTTTGGTATCACCATGGGGTAATGTCAGGTGAAGAACAATCAAATTTTGAAAAAATAGATGATAATGACATTGAAGAGGATGATGGTGAGGATGAAATAGATGGTTTGCTGAGAGATTTGTACCCCGATTTTAATGGAGATAATATGAATAATAGTGGTGATGATTTGATGGAGGAGGAGGAACCAAATGATGAAGCAAAAAGATTTTATAGGCTATTGAAAGATCTTGATCTACCATTATATGAAAGTGCAAAAGTTTCTAAGCTTTCTACATTGGTTAAATTGCTTCACCTTAAAAGTATTGGTCATTGGAGTAATGAGTCATTTACGATGTTGTTGAAGTTTTTGAAAGATCATTTATTGTTGGATGGAACAAACTTGTCGGATTCATATTATGAGGCAAAGAATGTAATTCGAGATCTTGGGCTTTCATGTAAGAAGCTTGATGCATGTAAGAATGATTGCATGTTATATTGGAAGGATGATAATTGTCTTCAATCTTGCAAAGTTTGTGGTGCATCTAGATGGAAGGATGATAAACATAGTCAGGAAACAAAATTGAAAAAAGGAAAAAAGATATTGTAGACAGTGAAGTTTTATTGATAAATCCATACTAAATTTGGATTAAATCTTAAATTCATGATACATTGACCAAGTCAAATTATTGGTTAATAAAGTCGAATTAATATTTATGTCAGAATTATATGACTTAAATCAAGTTCAAATAACATTTGGGCCAGTCCATTAATTTGACAAGATGAGCCCAACTCATATTCTTCAGGCCTAGGGGTCAAAATTGCTTGGACCAAAATACCCCTAAAGCCCTAGCTCAAGCCTATATAAAGAGGTCTTCATAAGACCAAAAGGGGGAGATACACACATACATACACACAGAAATACATAGTTGCTCTTCATTGGTGATCTGCAAGTCTTCCGCATACAAAGAAGTCTTCGCTCCAAGTATTGAGCCGCAAGTATTCCGCCAAATCAAGAACATCTGTGGAAGAGAAGAATCAGGGGATTACATATCTTCTTTTAAGAGATTTTATAAAGATTGTAACCTTCGCATTTATTCAAATACAAATATTATTGTTTGCTTGCTATTTTTTCTTTTCCTATTTACTGTATTTCAGGATTGAAACTTTAGATGCTTACAGATACCATGCAAGATTTTACGTTATTTTCCTCTAAAGCCAAGGCTTCAAAGATTATTTATGTGCTCAAAGATATCTCCTTTGATGTCGTGGCATCATGACAAAAGAGTTGACAATGGAATAATGAGGCATCTAGGTGATTCAATGGCATGGAAAAAATTTGATGAGCTTCACCCATCTTTTGCTGCTGAGCCTCGTAATGTACGACTTGGACTTGCTAGTGATGGTTTCCAACCATTTGGAATTTCAAAAACTCCGTACAACATTTGGCCCGTGGTACTTATTCCTTATAATTTGCCACCTTGGCTTTGCATGAAGCAACATAATTTTATTTTGTCAATGCTTATACTTGGCCCTGAGAGTCCTGGTGATGCAATTGATGTCTATCTGCAACCTTTGATAGAGGAGTTGAATGAATTATGGGAAAGTGTAGTCGAGACATTCGATGCACAACTAGAAAGAATTTTACGTTACATGCATCTTTGTTGTGGACCATTAATGACTTTCCAGCAAATGAAAATTTGTTTGGATGGAGTACAAAAGGAAAACTGGCTTGCCCATGTTGCAATAAAAAAGCACACTATACAAGGCTAGTAAATGGCCAAAAACAGTGTTATATGGGCCATAGACGCTATCTTCCTATTAATCACAAATAGAGAAATGATAAAGCGTCATTTGATAACACTATTATTGAGCACAGGCTACCGCCTGAAATGTTGTGTGGTGATGATATTCTTGATCAGGTTGCTGATTTAGATGGGTTGCCATTAACAAAGGATCCACAGAAGAAGATTAAAATATCACACAAGAAAAGGGGTGATAACTGGAATAAGAAGAGTATATTCTTTGATCTTCCATATTGGAAAACCTTATTGTTGCGACATAATCTTGATGTGATGCACATTGAAAAGAATATATGTGACAGTATTTTGGGGACAATCTTAGATGTCAAAGGGAAAACAAAAGACACCTTGAGTACTCGGTTGGATTTACAACAAATGAAAATACGAAAAGAATTGCATCCAATACAAAATGGAGATAAATATGAGTTGCCAGCAACACCTTACACATTATCTGATGAAGATAGGCAAAAGTTTTTCAAATTTTTGAGGAATTTAAAGGTCCCAGATGGATATTCCTCAAATATTTCTCAATGTGTCAACCTTAAGGATAAAAAAATTTCAGGATTAAAAAGTCATGATTATCATATAATTCTACAACATTTACTTCCTCTTGCCATGCGTGGTATGCTTTGCAAATTCGTGTCTGAACCACTTATTGAGTTGTCTATTTTTTTCAAAGTGCTTGGAGCAAAATGTTTGAGCGTAGAGGAGTTGGAACAAATAGAAGCTCAAATACCAATAACATTGTGTAAGTTAGAAAAGGCGTTCCCTCCTGCATTTTTTGATGTCATGGTGCACTTGTCTATTCAGCTACTTGATGAAGCTAAGATTACCGGACCAATTCAATAACGATAGATGTATCCAATAGAGAGATACCTACACTTTTTGAAGTGTTTTATTGGTAATATGGCTCACCCTGAACGTTCGATTGTAGAGGGATATTTAGCAGTTGAATGTATGGCTTTATGTTCAAGGTATTTGAATACAATAAAGACAAAGTTTAATTGTCCGGAAAGAAATTATGATGGTGATGTAATTGAATCTGAGGGTGGTTTGACAATATTTTGTGAACCTGGAAAAAGTTTAAAGGGTAGCACACCAGACAAGCTTTATTCAAACGATATGGAGGACACACTTTATTATATTTTGAAGAACTGTGTTGAAATTCAACCATTTCTCGAGTAAGTATTGATTTAACCTAATAATTTATTTATACCTTGTCTATATTTAATTTAAAATAACATGTAAATCTTCAATTCTTTGTTAGAGAATTTTCACAAATTTATAGTGAGACCTCTCAACAAAGTTCCGATGTGGAGTGGAATAGAAAATTCATTAGTTGGCTACAAAAAAAGGTTAGTAGAAATTAATCAGTTTTCTTAAATCAAGTATGCAATTAAATATTATTTTCTAAAAAGCTATTTGATGTTGTTACGTTGCAGGATTATACAAACATGATGATAGTAAGAGAATGTAAGATTTGCTATCTTTATCACGTGGCCCTATGCCATATGTCACAAGATTCAAAGGCCATATTGTTAATGGATATAGGTTTCATGTGAAAGAGTATGATCAATATTTGAAAACTCAAAATTGTGGAGTGGTTGTAGTAGGTGAGACCGGTGAAGAACAAAACCATATGAATTACTATGGCGAGTTAACCGAAGTTCTTGAATTACAATTTGTTGGGGGGAAGAAGAGTGGTTTTATTCCGGTGTATGTGGTTTGATGTGTATGATCAAAAGAGGGGAGTTAAAATGGATGAATATGGCTTTGTAAGTGTTAACCGTCGGCGATATTTGAAAATAAATAAGCCATTTGTATTAGCTAGCCAAGCATCACAAGTATTTTATGCTATCGATCATTCCAATAAAGGTTGGCACATAGTGCAAAATGTTCAACCCCGTGATTCTTTTGATAATTTGGAAAAAAAGAATGACGACTTAGAAGAGTTAGATAACTCTACACAAGTGAAAAGAAAAAGAACTCATTGACGTTTGGAGCTTTGTCATGCTTTCTTTCACTTTATTAATTTTTTTATGGTAATGATTCTTTATAGTATTTCTATGAAAATTTGTTTGATGAACTTGGTCTTTAATGTTACCTTGATCTTACTATAGTAGTAATGGTTCATGCAAGGAACCTATGTTACATGTACATGTGTCTCTTTTCTGAATGTGTTTTCAATTCACATTTCTTCTTATGAAAAACTTCCAAACCTATTTGAACTTTTGTTTGGAAGACTTTGCTCTTATTTTTTTTTTTTTGTATTATCTAGGTTGACATGAATCCCTCAAAAACTCTGAAGTATGAAATGGGACAAACTTCTAAAATTCCCAAGCATGAACTCATTCAGCCAGGTGCCTTAGCAAAGGGACTTGGTCAAAGTTTGAAAACTATGAGCACTATCAGAGTTAATGCTGAACAAAGGACTTTGATTGCCAAAAATAGAAGTTACTATACAGCAACTTCTTAGTTGAATAAGCTAGCAGATAATAGTTTCCATGTGCATCCTTCTTTTGAGGAAAAGGAAGACAATGCTCCCCTCCATCAAGAAGCTGAAATGAATCAATACACTTTGACCAATGATGCAAGGGGTCAGGGACAAAGCTTAAGGATTAATGATGAAAAAAGGACTATGATTGGCGAAAATAGAAATACTACAACAACTTCTAGTCGAAACAAGCCAGCTAAGAAAAGTATCCCTGTGCCTCCTGATTTTAATCCAATGGAAGACAATGACGCCCTCTTTCTAGAAGCGGAAGTGACTCGAGATACTCAAAGAAGTAATCATTTGCAAAAGAGTTAGTCTGGTTAATTTGTTTGATCAAGAAATTCTGCTTAGCTTTCTCTACTTAATCTCCTTTGTATTCTTTTTGTTACTAAAGAGAATAAACTTCTTATTTTGGTTGACTTCCATCAAAATTTGCAGGTCCATTTGAATTTGACAAGTCCAAAAAAGTGATTGAAGTGCCTCGAGTTTCCCAAAGAAGTGATACTACTATTTTATTTTATTTATGAAACTTCTTTTTGTTAGTTGAATTGAAGTCTTGATTTTTTTTTTACTTGCACTTAAATTTGCAGGTCCATTTGAATCTAGAAAGGAAAAAAAAGTGGTTGGAGTGGCTCAAGTTTCTAAGGGAAATCAAACTAGTAAGTATTTTCTTGTTGTTACTTGTAAATCAGCAAAAAAGTTATCTATGAATCGCTTCCCTAGGAAGATATGTTAGCATATGACTAGCATTTTCAGGAACAAGGACCTTTGAGATAAGGGCAATACTAGTAATTATATGTCTCAGCAACTCTCCATTCGGGAAGAATTGCAATCCTGCTTTAGCAACATCTTTCTTAGATGTTGTCCATTCCCCTTTCTATATCACATTTTATTTTTTGGCAACTTAAGGCCTGATCTCTTGCAATAGGCATTAATATTAAGCTTTGATATCTCTATTAGAGTGAATATTTAATTTTATTTTAGTCAAACTAAGATTGATGTGAGTGAAAAGTTATTTGTCAATCTTATATTAAACAATAATGTTGTTATCTCTCATGGTGAAAGAAGAAGTAACTTTTAGAACCTTGAAAATAAATAAGTATTAGTTGGGGAGCCTGATTTATATTTCTCAAGTACAAATTAAAATGTTTACACATGGGAGTGCATTTAAATTATAGTCCTCTTATACTTTGTAGGTCCAGTTGGATATGATAGGGCAGAAAATATGACTGAAGTGTATCGAGATGTTCAGAGAAGTGATACTAGTATATATTACTTTCTTTTGTGTAATTCTTTGTTGTTGTTAGTTGGCTAGAAGTTTTATTTTGTTTTAATATTATAATTTGCAGGTCTTTTTAAGTCTAAAAAGGTAAAAAAAAAAGTGATTGAAGTGGCTAAAGATGCTATGAGAAATGAAACTAGTATGCATTTTCTTCCGTGTGATATTTTCTTTTCTTGATGTTACCGGTAAAATAGCCGAAAAGTTATTTTTCCTATGTATTTGACATCTGATGCTTCATTATGTGTCCTTTCACTAGTCCTAACCATATTAACCTCCATCGATTCTTGATTTATCAATTGTGATTTTCTGAATGAAAGTTTCTAAAAAGTGAAAGTCACTGATTTGGGATCTTAAGTTTTCCAATATTTATTCCACTGCTAGTAGCCCCTTTCTGTATTAATTTTTTTTTGGCAACTTGAGGCCTTATCTCATGCAATGGGCAATGTTCTGCCTGTTTTGTCTAGTTGTCACTTGGTTTGGAACTGTGTTGTAAAATCACATGGATAAAAGAAATATAGTTGTGGGGATTCTCACATTTGTTCTACCTGCTTTGTCTAGTTGTCCCTTGGTTTGGAACTGTGGATTGGTACCTCTCAAAGGCGAAGGAAATTTAGTGACCCGATAGCATGGTTGGATATTCTGTCTTACAATATTATAGAGACCAGACCATTGTATACATTAATAATTTCAAAACTTGACACCTAAAACATATCTACTGGATCATTCTCCAGTTTCTTTTGATTATTTAGTGCTAATGATCAATTTATATCAAAGAGCATAGTTGACTTACTTTAAACTTTGCAGGTCCAGTTGGATATGATAAAGGAGAAAAAATGAATGAAGTGTATTGAGATGTTCAGAGAAGTGATACTAGTATATATTACTTTCTTTTGTGTAATTCTTTGTTGTTCTTAGTTGGCTTGAAGTGTTATTTTGTTTTAATATTATAATTTGCAGGTCTATCAAAGTCTAAAAAGGCAAAAAAAGTGATTGAAGTGGCTGAAGATGCTACGAGAAATCAAACTAGTATGTATTTTCTTCCGTGTGATATTTTCTTTTCTTGATGTTACTGGTAAAATAGCCAAAAAGTTATTATTCCTATGTATTTGACATCTGATGCTTCATTATTATTTTTTTCACTAGTCCTAACCATATTAACCTCCACCGATTCTTGATTCATCAATTGTGATTTTCTGAATGAATGTTTCTAAATATTGAAAGTCACTGATTTGTGATCTTAAGCTTTCCAATATTTATTTCACTGCTAGTTGCCCCTTTCTGTATCACATTTTTTTTGGCAACTTGAGGCCTTATCTCTGCAATGGGCAATGTTCTGCCTGCTTTGTCTAGTTGTCACTTGGTTTGGAACTATGGATGGGTACTTGTCGAAAACCAGATAAAATGTTATTTTGCATATTTGGTCTAATAGATCTAAAAATACCAGACCATTGTATACAATAATAATTTCAAAAGTTGACACCTAAAACTTAACTACTGGAGTATTCTCCAGATTCTTTTGATGGTTTAGCACTAAAGATCAAATTTATATCAAAGAGCATAGTTGACTTACTTTAAATTTTGCAGGTCCATGTGAATATGATAGGACAACCAAGGGGAGGGGAACAAACATTTGTAAGAATATTTTGTGATTAAGACCTGGAGAAAAGTTAAAAGTCACTTTGTATCAAAATCGAGTTGTTGGGAATCACACCTCATTTACGAGACACTTGGGTTTGCTAGTTCTTCATCATAATATGTGCCCATTGCGGGTACACTCATGGATGGATATTGAAGAGCATAAAATTGAGCATATGTGGGCAGTTGTTACAGTAAGAATAACAACATTACTCTATTTTATTTTCGCTGGCCTGATACCGCTGCTACTATACTAACAATATTTTTTCCTCTTCTTCTTGTGTTTGTTTAGAATACTATGATGTTGCCTTTGTTTAAGAATAGCTATACCAAAACAAACAAAGAATTCCCCTCCTCAGTCTTACTATGCACTCTATATTTAGTTTCGTGATCCATTCACACTCAGTGTTGAGGAATTTCTACTACCCCTGTTAAACATAAACAACAATTTGCATCTTGCACCTGCATGTTCAGTCTCATATATTGCCATATTACTTCATATACACTGCATGTGTCCATGTTACCCAGAGGATGTGCTATTCTGAAACCTTTCATATAGTAGTTTGCCAACATAAGCTTCATTCCATTTCATGCATCCCTTAACTTTTGGTCCTCAAAAATTATATATGGGAGGCACACCTTATCCCAAGCAATCAAAGGTGTCTTTCTCTGATCTGCAGTACCTCCCTATACAAAGCTCTTAAATAGTTGACATGTAAGATCAACCCTTCAATCCATTAATCAAGAACATTAACTTGCAATCAAATGTGTCTTTCTCTGATTCTGATGATATTTTTCTCTATTTCAGGAAAAGTTTGACTGTGATAAAATGAATGATCAAAGAGATAATGTTTTGCAACATATGAGAAAGCTTTGGAACAATTGGAGAGGATCGTTGCACAAGAATATGAAATCCAAGTCATTGCACGAGGTTCTAAAAGATGTGTCGATAGGAGTAGACAAGAGTGATTGGGAATGGTTGGTCAAGGAAGATTTTTTATCTGATAAGTTTAAGGTATGATTGCATAGCTATTGATTAATATCATTTTATTTCCAAGTCACATATGATTACTGTTTTGGAATAGTTCTTTTGATTAAATGATTTCATTTGTGATCAAGAGGATACAAAGTAGTTACAAAAGTTAATTTAAGAATAAAAATAGAATCATGAAAGAAGCTTGTGATAATTTCAGCTTGTGTTAATGCAGAAATCAAGTACAAGAAACACAATCAACAGGTCTAAGTTGTGTATGCCTCATCGTACTGGTAGCAAGCCTATAAGAGAGATTATTTACGAACTGGTAAGTAAATCATGAAACCCTAAAAGGAAACCTCCTTTTTCTATAAAAGATCTTATAGTACTTACTTTTTTTTATTGTTAAGGGAGGCAAAGATGGTAATCCACCAAACATGGCAACTATCTTCTTTGAGACTCGTAAAAAGGGAAATGAGCTTGTCGAACCCGAAACAAATGAAAAATACGTATGTTTATCGATAAATTTCATTTAACATTTTCTCTCTAGATTGATTAATTGAAATATTTTAAACATTCTTGTATTTTATAGGCTGAAATTCAAGAGCTTGTACAATCTGAACCGTCTCTTACTAATATTGAGGTAGTGGAAAGGTGCTTTGGACCTCAATGCAAAAGTCATGCGGTTGGATTTGGTGGTGGGATAACCACTAAGGAGTTGAAAGGTGGTAGTACTTCTAAGGCTGCATTGTTGGAAGAACTGAAAATAACTCAAAAAGAAAAGGAATCACTACAAAAGCGTATTGATATTCTAGAGAGTAAATATGATCGCCTTGAAAGTATAGTGGTTCGTCAGCATCCATCACCTCCATCACTTCCACCAGGTTAGCAAACTTTTCATTAGCTATTCCATGATGTGTATTTTTCAATGAATTTAGTGATGGCATTAACAAATGCTCATCTTTGATAACGGCTTTGCTAATGCAGTGGTCTGTCTTTCTATGATAAGTTTATTTTAGAGGGTAGACAGTCTTTAGTTGTACTACTTTCCATGATGAACGAGACTACATGCTTATAGAATTATGCATATCTCTATTTTAATCAGGATGTATTCCTTTGTTCTGAACTGAGTTCCTTTCCTGCATGTTCACCTTAGTATTTGTGTTGCGTGTTAAATCCTTACTGTGTTATAGTTTTAGAATAATTATCTCTAAACTTGTTGAACTTTCTTTTTTTTTTGAAAAATTACTCAATTTTTATTCTTGTCCAGCTTCAACTCCAGCTTCTCTTCAAAAGTTTCACAGCTTTACTGTCACGACCCGGGATCACCCCCTAGTCGTAACCGGCGTACTCGACCTCGAAGAGGTCTAATGCAAGCCTCTTAGCATTCATTCATCGCATAGACACTAAAACCATAAGGAATTAAAAACTTTCTTTACCAAGAAAACATTTCATTAAAAAAAACAATAGCAAGCGGAAGACTTTCTAGACTTTATACATGATGTCTCAAAACCATCTAATACTTTAGAGTACAAATTTCGGGACTAATCCCGTACACAACTTAAACAATACTAAAAGACATAAAAGAACGTATTGGGTATTGTCCTCGAATCTATGAGAACTCATCAAGTCTTCATCTTCAACACTTAGAAACCTATCAAAGCCATGACATGTCATCTTCTCCAAATCCCTACACTTTAGTTCAAAAAAGGGAAAGAAAGGGGTTAGCACAATTAAGTACTAAGTATGGAGACCATGCAAAAACATGTCAAAAAGGACATTTTCAAAGAATAAATGCTTTTATATCAATTTGATAAAACCTTTCCTTTACAAGTATAAGAGACATAATACAAGTCAACATTAACATATAAGACCATAGCCCACCATACATATAATCAACATATGTCTATATACAACTCATGCCTAACTTTAAAAGAACACATGTCATTTCATTACCATAGGACCTCTACCTAATATAATCTTAAGACACACTTGAGTAAGACAAAAAGTGACCGCCCATACAACCTCTTCAAGCACACTTAAGTGTTCCTCAAGATTACCTTAGATAAGGACATTTCCTTTACAACATAACATCAATAGGCCAACATTCTTTAAGAAACCATTTTGGAGACATTCAAGCACATAAGGGGACTTTCACATAATAGTCGTTAGACTTAGGGAACTCACTTTAGTATCTTCAAAGCCTACTCGTGCCATGTGTAGATAGCATCCCATACTACTACCTACACGTTGTAGAACCTATCCTATAACTAGAGTGCAAATCCCACATGATGGGAATAGGCATAACCGACATAGACCATACTAGCTAGGTATGGAATCCGGAGTCTATCCTACTCCGTGGAGGTTGTTCTACTTGCCAAAGGTAGAACTAGTAAGCAGCCCATGTAGGCACATGGTTTAGGGGATGTCCAAGGAAGTTCATTGTGCCTAATCTCATACTCAACTAGGCCACCTTCCTAACCACATCCACTCGGTGCTAGCCTTGTTTCCCATAGAGTATTCAATCACACATGTACTTAGAGAAGGTTCCTTTTCTAGTTCAACCAACTCATAGTACCTCTTCCCAAGAAAGGCCCCATTTCTTAGTCATGGCCAATCAAGGTTCATAAGGATAGCTCATTAAATCCCCCTGGAAGGGTGCCTTAGGCCTACCGATTTTTCATTAAGGGTGCCTTAAGCCTGCCGGTCCAAGGTTCATCATTTCACACATGAGAAGGGCTACCACCATTAGGTCTACCGATTTCATGGTTTTACATTTACTTAGGAAAGCTAGACTTATGAAAGGGCACCATTTCTTAGTTTTGCCGATTCAAGTCTTGGCCTAGAATTCCTCTTTTAGCATTTATAGAAAGGGCACCATTTCTTAGTTCTGCCCATTTCACACATTCATGCATTCAAGACTTTAAGTAACAAGGAGGGACACTTTAGTCTACCAACCAAGTCACAACATTTTCATTTAAGGATACTTCATAATCCAACATCATTTCATATATACATCATAAGAAATCATACTTTAACTCACAATGTTATCCACTTTACATAGGATCATCACAAGATCACATAAAACTCATTCACATCATACCTTCACATATAGCTTCATATAAAACTCATTCACATCATACCTTCACATATAGCTTCACATCAAACTCTACATATAGCTTCATATAGGACTTTACATATAGCCTCATATGTGTATAATAATACAACAATATAATAACATTCACATAATGCCCTTCATGGCCTCAATTCACAATAATACAACAAATAACCACCTCCACCAAAGGTGGATCAAACCAACCAATAACAATTATATTAATACTAAGAGATCAAGCCATCTTACCACCCTTTTCAAAGGCCATAAGCCACAATGCTCAATTTCATGCCAATTATACAATATTTATCAAGTTTGATCAACTTACCCTCTTTCCATGGCAATCTTCATCATCCTCATATTCCAACAATTAACAATACAATAACAATGATAATAACAACATTCAACTATACAAACTAAGCTAAGCATAAGCCCATAATCAACATGAAGACCAATTCACAATTTTGCCCATTCAAGGCTAACATCCCACATCCTTCAATTCAATAACAATTCTTAACAATTCAACATAGATAAATACATACATGAACAGCCCACAACAATTTACACAATAATCGTCCATCAAATTACACAAAATCAATACACCCACTTTAGGCCAAATTTGGAGAATTTGTAAAGGCATGGGTTCATGAAGATTTCTTTCCTAAAACCATCAATAATCATTAATAACAACATAAAACATCATTGGAAATCATTTAAGGCAAGGACCCATGCTTAGAATTCGAAATAGGATTTTGGTGTATTTGAAAGACCTTGAAAACCTTTTGATTGGGCTCCTTGAAAGAAAGAATGATCAAGGATAAAGGATCCCTATACCTTAAAGATGAATTCCCCACGAAATTTGAAGAAGAAACACCAAGAAATCTTCAACCCCAGCTCCAACTCCTCTTCTTCCTCTCTTCTTCTCTTCTTCACTCAAGAACCCTAACTCTTATTCTTTTAAAATGGAACAAAAATGATCCACAAACAGCCTAACACAACAATATAACCTCAAAAGAAAAGATTTGTGAAAAGACCGAAATGCCCTGCCAACTGCCCAACTTTCAAAGGGCATAACTCGCTCATACGAACTCGGAAACGAGCAAACTCGGTGGCGTTGGAAAGATCGTTTCAAGGGCTTTCCAAAAATAACTGGAACTACTCCTGGATCATCCTGAGCTAGGAGTTATGACTGCTCAAAGTTGGCCAAAAACTCACTGATTTCCACACTTGGCCGAATTTCCAGATTCTGAATTTTTTTCCAAAAATGACTACTTCCAATTTCAAGCTTCTTCTTATTCATTTTAAATTGTCGGAGTTACACAATTAAAATGAAATTACATATAAACCCCTCATAGAACCTCATTATAAAGTCAACACAAAGTCATAGGCTCTTGCTTAACCTATCATTTTTTTCCTAGTCGTTACATTTACAGTATCTCTCTTCTGTTTATAATAAATTATGTACAAAAAATATTCTATTATACGTGTTGTCGTTCCCAGTCAATTAGGGAATCATAGAAATTTTACCCCCTGTACAAAACTAACAAGAATATAAAATTGAAGTTTGATGTTCATCACTGGTAGTCTCTGTATATTGGTTGTGGATTCCATTTGAGATGCAAGTTCAGTTTCCCTGATTTAACCTCGGCTAATTCGTACGAGTCTTTGTTTTCACCTTCAATTAGAACCCTTTTTAAAGTCAGTATGCATTTCCCCATGAAATCCTTTCCAAATGTGTCAGGGTCCCAGACTTCCAGCATTAACATGTCATGTAATCCGTCCTCAACAACAAAGTCAAAAGTTTGATTCCATACCGGGTTTAGACTTTCATTTACAACCCTGGTTTTGCTCTTGATTTGAGCCTTCTTCATGATCATAACGACGTAGGGGTCAGCCTTCCCCCCTATATCAGCTGGGGGCAGGTCATTACCTGATACCACGGTAACAGAAAGTACCCCTCGTACTATTACCTCTCTTCTATTGTTGATTTCACTTCCGTTTGGACTAACTTCTTTTCCTTCTGCCGAGTTTTTAAGAACTCTCTCTAATGAAGTCATTGACTCATTCTGAGAAAATAGCTTACTTAGCCCATTGTTCATGCCATTCGGGCAATACAATAGCTCCAAGTGCACCTGGACCCTATTTTTCTTATCTCTCTGAATTTCCAAATCTTTCACCAACTTCAACCAGATATCCTTCACTTTACCAGGCTCAAGCTCATTCAAAAAAATATGGGCACATCCAATTAGTTCAGCTGACTGAAGCCCTTTATCCTCATAGATTTTTACCACCAAATGTTGTGTCAATGGATCTTCGACTACGAACTCAAAATGCTCATATTCCAAATTGGGTTCAAATCATTGTTAGCTCTTGTTCATTCTGTCTCGTAAAGGGCTTACATATAATACAGCAAAAGGATTAGATTTTCCAATGAGATCTTTATTTGTTAATTTCTTTGCTTGAACAAGTTTCACCTCTAATACTCCAGTAGGCTTCAGTTCAAGGTCACTATAATCCCCAAGTAAAATGGGAATAACTTTTTGTATTGGCCACATGATAGAGTCTTCAACAACGTCCCAGATGGTTCCCTCAATTGCATCAGAAAGGCCAGGAATTGCTGTCATGTCGTCACCAATTACTTAAGCGTAAAATCCAGCTTTTTCTTCTGCTTTGGAGAATAGCATACAGCTCCGAAGCAAGGAAACTCATCAACAAGTGGCCTGAAGATGAGCCTGAAAATACCAGTAAACCTAATGTTTTTCACCTGCACTGGTAGT